CCCCTTCATGAAAGTCCTGGAGGCGAACAAAGAGAGACTCTCTGGTGCGAAGACCGGGCAACCCAATGGTGTTGCAACTCCGCCCATCGGCAGCGTAGCGGACTTGACCGGCCTGAATGAACAAATCGCATCTGCTGTTCAAAGGGCAGTAATGCCGTTGCATGAGACCGTGCTGGCAAAGCTGCAGACGCTCCAGGACAACATGAGCCAGTCGCTGGATTCCACCCAAGAGAGTGTGGCACAGCGCATGGATTTTGGGCAGGTCACGCTCATGCAGACCGTGAATGCATGTCAAGTCTTGCTGCACAAGCTGGATTCTTCGCAAGAAGTGGTCCTTCAGAAGTTGGATGCTCAGCAGAGGGGCTTGGACCAGATCGGCACGTCCTGCACCACGCTCCATGCCAAACTCGGTGAAGTCCAGACCACCATGAACGCAACTGTCGCAGAAGCCGTGGGTTCTTCTTCCAAAGCCTTGCTTGAGAACTTAGAGGGAACACAGCAAGACTTGCTGCGCCAAACCACAGAAGCAAACTCAATCCTTCAGAACGTCGTATCTACTCAGAAGACCATGGTGACAAAGCTTGAGAGTGGCAATGACTCGATGGTGAGGAACTTGGTCGAGATGGAGAAGTCATTGGACAAAAAGCTTGCTGAGTTCGGAGAGTCTGCTGTTTCTTCCTACACCGTGAGCTCGGAGTCCGTCCTAGCGACCTTGAAGGAGCAGATGGATGCCTTGAATGACCAAAGCAACACCGCAGTGGTCGCGGCCGAGCGCTCTGCCGCCGTCCTTGATGAGCGAATGACAGATGTCCGTCGTCAAAACCTCATGATGCTGGACCTCCTTACCAGCTCCAACGACAGAGTCCAAAACTTTGCCGACAACCTGGACACACTTCGCAATTTGGACAATGTTACGGCAAGTGAGGTTCGAAACATTCTCACGGAGCACTTGGGCAAGGGCCTGGGCCACAGATATCGCAAGCACAGGTGTGCAGCGGGATTCTTTTACCATCTCACGGGCAGTCGTTGCACAGAGTGAGCTGCCGACATGCCATCCATCAGTTTCGTGGAACGGACTTTCCAGATGCATGAGGTAAACAAACGTCAATATGAGGAAAGCACAAGGCAAACAACAAAGAGGTTAACAATGGTTTTGGGGGAAGAAACGATTTGTGAATGTGATTGAACTTGCACATATATCGGATATATCGAGTCAATGCCAGTACTTCTGTTTGGCAATCCTGCGCATTTTCGCAAGAGGCTTATGAAGCATTATTCTTCTTTTTGGATTTGCGTCTTGCTCCATTTTGCAGCAAGTGCCAAGACTGCTTGGCTGGTGGATTCAGTTTGTATTGTGTTCCATTTGGGGTGCAGTTTTTTGTGTGCATTTCCGGGTCCGGGTGGGGGGCTGTGCATCTTTGGTTTTTCCAAATTCACAAGCCCACCGCCCGACGGTGTGGTTTTCAATCACTCCTGGCTCCACAATCATCTGTAGAAAGCTCCTGGAAGGCTTGGTTTAAATTAGCTGCGCAAGTTTGGCGTCTTGTTTATCTAAGCATGAGGCCAGACAGCGGTGTCGTCAGAAGTTGGCAACGAGACGGAGGGCAACGGGACGATGGAATCCATGGTTGCGCGTCTGGAGGACAGTGCTGCCCGTCTGGAGGCGAATGGGATGGGAGCAGTGAAGTCTGAGTTGGCAGACATCGAGGAGAGGTTGGCAAAGCAACAGGCCCAGATTGTGGGCGACGCGATGCAGGAGGTGAAAGACCTCCAGCTGGGTTTGGTAGCGCAGATCAACGACTTCAGCGCTCGATTGGGCTCCCCAAGCGAGCCAGGATCCCAGGCTGATGCTCCCAAGGCGGGCGAAGAAGCCCTGAAAGAATTGAAAGTAGGATTTCCGACAGTGTGATAGTGTCGAGCCTTGCACCACCGAAAAGCAGGAGCGAGCAGATCGCGCAGAGCGACCCACCGGAAGCCCGTCTTCTCGCCGTGGCTCCAAGCGCAACGAAGTCCGAGGATAATTGGCCACTGAACCGAGCTCCAGATGCTTGATGGTGGCTCGGAGTGCATCCGTGGCATGCTCGTTGCATGACCATGATGCACGTGTATCAGTATGCCAAGCGCGGGGACCGGATAAACCAGATTTGCGAATTTCTCACGAAAAATATATCTAAGCAAGTCTAGTTCAGGATGCACCATGGGAACTTGGTTTGGGTCCGGCTCTCTGTCTCGGTGCTGCGATCTTCCACGTTGGGCGGGCATGTCCACATGCAACTCGTGCTGAGACAGTGGTGAATCCGCATACATGGGCACTTACGCTAAGAGCTTCGTGATAATCATTGCCTCACCACACAGTGCCGTCCGGCAGCCAGAGTTGGTCTTCCCGCGGCCAAGACCACGAAGTGGTCCGTGGCCCGGCCCGATTTTCATTTTTCTACTGGACACTACTTCCGACCCTGCATCCAGCAGTATGCCAGGTCTGCATACAGACATCCAATTCCTGCATCTACCTCGCGCGACTACAGCAGCAGGGGCGGGAAAACACACCCGGGCAATTCTGAACTTTTGTCCACATCTTTTGTAAGGGGGCTCTCGAAAAGCCAGTGTCTCCTGTCGTGGTCCGGTCGTCCGGGTACGTGTCCACATCCTGGGCACCTGGGGCATCCTGTGTGTTTTTGTAAAGGCTTGGTAATTGGAATTGATATGTCTTCACCCGGCATCCGACAAGAAGAGGATCCCAGGTCTTTGCCAGGTCTGGTCTTAGCTGTCAGAGAAGTTTGCTCATGTCAGTGCAGATCAGATCAACAGCCGATAATCGACTGCGCAGAGTGCTAAGAGCCCTTGCCGCAGACCTGAAACAAGAGAACAGCAACTGTGGATGAGGATGCGACGGTACAAGAAGAAGCTAGGTGTGTATGGAGCTGCGGCAATTTTAAAGCTGTCGCCGCAGTTCCCCAGTTCAAGGTTTGTGAATATCAAGCAGGAGCGGGCTCTCCGTTGTGGTTTGCCACTCGGCAGTTCCCATGTGTTTCAAGCACCGGATGCTCTTCAAGAACCATTCTGCTACTTACGCTTTGAACCAGAACTAGCTGTACCTAGCTGGCCAATCCATGAAGCAACTGGTGTGAGCCCTGAGTGGTGCAAGTAGCACCTCCTGATTCACTGCAATTGCTGTGCCTTCAGGAAGGGTTCAAAGAATACTGAAGACGCATAATCCCTGTCCCAGACAGAATCGATGGCGTGCGTTGCCGCTTGAAAAATATATCGCTGATCCGTCATATCGATGCAATGCTGCACGTCGTGTCACGGATCTTTCAGAGGGTGGGGGCAGCTTCTGGCTCGAGGCAGCGACGCCCCACTGCTGTCACAAACTTCTCCCGTGGCCCATGGCATCACTGTCATCGTCCCACTCGACGGTGCGTCGCTCCCGAAATGAACGTGGACCCTCATGGAATAGCTGAAGAGCTCTCGAGTTCCTGCACTGCCGGCATGCGCTTAGACGGAGAACGGCACTCATCTGCGTTCCGGTGCTGTGCTGTGGAGGCAAGCCATGCGTGCCGGATCTTGGAAGGGCATCACCTTCAACATGACAAAGATCGAAGGATCTCGCACCATGCCAAACCAGCGCTGACCTTGTGCAGACAGCTCGCATCCAAAGTTGTGGGGCCGCGATATCTTACGACGGCGGATGAGAAGCAAGGGGCTTGTACTTCTCCTTGATTCAGCCAGGACTGGTGCTGTGCTATGTAGTTCAGATGCACGTCTCTTTAGACTTTGTGGTCTGCCCTTCTCCCGAGATCGAATCGACTGGGGCAGATTCAAACGTGTTTTCGGGGGCTCTGGTGCAGGGCATGTTGTGTCACGACGTGCGTTCTCGCACAGGAAAACGAGTGATATTTCTCATCGTGCTGTGGCATGAACCAGAAGTGACTAGGTAGCTTCTACTGCTCGGCCCACTCATTCTGCTGTGTTCATTGGACCTGCTGTCTACTACGCCTGCCAGGGCAAAGGTCTGTCGCCGGGTGAAGAGATGTCTCGCTCTGGAGCACTTGCAGGCACTCACTTGCTCAGCCAAAGGTGTTTGTATACATATATATATATATATACATATATATTTGCAGAGCTCTTCCAGGACTCAGGCGCGTTCCTCGCGAACGTTTTCGTGCGCCGCAGACAACGCAGCAGGAGCATTCTCACAAACTGCCTTGTTAGGTAAGCATTCGGAGCTCCAATAGCACTGCCCCTAAACACACGTTTACTCGCGATCAACCGTTTCTATTTTCGCACAAGGGCGCCGAAGTTGAGTCTAAATTTGCCTGCAATGCTTTGCCAGGAGCTTGGCAGGAAGCTTAGCTCTGCTGGGAGAGCTGGTTACGTGGTATGGCATACACCGTAGAGCGTAGAGCTCTAGGGTTTTTCATCTTGCCGAGGCTGGCGACAGCCTTTGGAACGCGGCGGTCTACGCTTTAATTACGGATTGAAGCATGATGAGGGCATTTGGCCCTCTTAGCGCACAAAAAAGCGCCGTCATTGAGTCCGCCACGTTGTCCTGCATGGCTGCATGACATTCATGAAGGCCCCGAAACCTGGGAGGGGCTCGGCATCCAGGCTGCGCATCATCTTGTTGCAATACGACGGGTGCAACCACAGCAAGCCATCTTTCATCATTCTATGCGGCGGCCGCGGTTTCTCACCTTTGCCCAGCACAGGACTGACGGCACCGAAGGTGCTTCCGGTCTGGAATTCGAATCAGACTTCCGCCCTGAGAAAAAGAAAAGCTGCCTGAAGGAAAAACTGCCCGTGTGCTTCGGGCCAGGAACCCATATTATGGACCTCTATGACTCTTATGCAGTAGTTGGCGTAAGCATGCATCACCAACATACCACACCAGTGGCAGTGAACCAGTTTAGGCCTTGGTCATTTGACACGACCATGTGTGCGATCTAGACACATGTCTCGATTGTTGAAGCTCTAGCCAGACATGCCAACCGCGCTTCAAGGCAGCAGGTGGACATCGCGCCGTGGTGCCACCGACAGACTTCCGGCACTCCGATCTGTGCGATCGCCAAGCCCATGGCCTGTCACTCCCGAAAGCCCGCCGAAACCCCGCATGCCAGGCCTGCCCGTTCCGCCCATGTTGCCGTGACGCTGCCGGAGGGTGCCAAAGACTCAGAACAGGAACAGGAAAAGCATGGTGATGTGCACAAAACCGTATGCCTTATGTTCTCTACTCGAGATGTCAAGCTTCACGGTACGCATCATCTTGAGTGTCCTTGCTGGCTGGTGCACATGCGAACCCCATGCAGTGCTGATCTTGGGCTTGGGCAGTCAGCTGACAGTGTATTGATAAGTCTCCACAGCCCCATGCTGTTTTCGTCGAGGGGTCATCGGGACGTCAACATCACAGGTGGCCATTTGGAACCATACTTCCAACACCGCGACTTGTCAGCTCGGTCGCCTTAGTGACTCAGTCGCAGAAGCTTAGCAGAGCCTTCACACTGCTTTGCATATCTCGCCATGCGCCCTGTGGGCTTGGCAACCCTGCGGCGCTGCCCCTTTGCGGCCCGCTCCCGTCTCGGCGAATCCCGCCTCCTCGCGCCAACTGTGCCCGAAGGGAAGGAGGCGAAGTTGCGGCGGCCCCGTGGGCGCTGGTGCTCCGGCTGAGAGCTCGAAGAACTTGCGATAACTTGCGACTTCGGATCCGCTGAGTTTGGAATGTACCATTGCAGACATTGCCATGGAGGCTTTGCAGCGCCGCTCTGGGAGCTTCTGCAGTGCGGAGCCTTCGCCGTCGGCATCGGCGGCAGCACCTCGAGCGAATGTTAACCCCTTTTTCTCGTCCGAAAAATGCCAGTATTTTTTCCCGTGCCTGAACGTGGGGTTTGGAGATCCTGAGCTTCGCTAAACCAAGGACTGCATACGTAGGTGTCGCTCGCAGGGCCTCTTCCTTGGATGTCTGGACAGGCCTGGCTCGGCTCGTGCTGAGGGCTGAAGGCAACTGCGTGAAGTGGAAGAGGGGTGAACTTGAGGCGACAAGGTCCGGGAGGCATACATCAAGTTTTTCGCGGAGAAGAAGGAGCACGACTTCATCGCTTCGAGCCCGGTTGTGCCTCTGAACGACCCGACATTGCTTTTTGCAAATGCACCTCGCTGGCACAAGCTTGTAGTTCTACATGTGCTGATGCCTGGAGTCCTCTTGAAGCTCAGCGTGAGAGGCTGGAATGAACCAGTTCAAGCCCATCTTTCTGGGGCAGCTGGAGCCCAACAGCCCGCTGCAAGGACAGGAGAGTACAGTCTTCGCAACAGCAGTTGTTGTCTATTGTTGTCTTTTGGTTAAGGCTGTTTGTCAGTGCTGTGGTGGATGGTGGGTGATGGTCTGCGGTGGGTTCGCATGCTCGAGCTTATGGCTGGCGGTTTCAAGGCCCTTCGTGAGCGATTGCAAAACGCATTCAAGAAAAGCAGTTGGAAACAGCGAGCGCGCTAGAATTTACAGGTCGAAACCTGCGATGACATGGGCAGGGAATAATTCAGGGCACAGGCCGTAGCCGACCGGTCACTACGGCTGAGCTTTATAAACGGCGCTGCCATGCGTTGCCATTCCAACTCGTGGAGGGAGGGATGCCACGTGCTCATGATGCCGTGCTTTTCGCCGAATCATAGAGCCCACTGGCTCAGGACACCCCTGAAACGAGCCCTGAGCACCGGACATTGCGATGCAATTCCTGCCGTGCAAGGGAAGCTGGTAGTGTGCACAATCCTATTCAGAATTGCAGTTTCTTTTGACAGGCGTGTCGAGAGCCGTCAACAGCCAGAAGTGCATCCGTGCTGGTGGAAAGCACAACGACCTGGTCGCTTGCCTGCATTGTTTGATGCTGCTGCTTGTGCTACACAGAATGCTGCGTGAAGGACAGCCAGGGTCGATGCGAAGCACTCAGGACGACGTCGGCAAAGACGTCTATCACCACACGTTCTTTGAAATGTTGGGGAACTGGCTTCTTCACTGCAGTACCTGAAAATAACCTTCCGATTTCGAGAGCAATCACAGGTCGCAAGTATGACATCGGCTTTTTTTGTTTGCCGCTTCCTCCGCGTCATTGCTTGCCACCGCAATTGCTGCTGGTGGTCATTCTTCGGCTCCTCCTCCTCCTCCTCCACCCCCTCCCCTTACTCCTCCTAATGCAGTACGAGGACAACTACTGCGGAAGCGACGGCGACAACGATTAGAGCTGCTGCTGTCGCTGCTGCTGCTGTTGCTGATGCTGCTGCTGCTGCTGCTGATGCTGCCTATTCCTGCCCTTGCAATCACCACTACCGCACCACCACTATGCAGACTATACTCCTGCTGCTCCTGCTGCTGCTGCTGCTGCTGCTGATGCTGCTGCTGCTTCTACTCAACTGCTACTTCTACTACCCAGGCTACTGCGACTGCGGCTGCTGCTGCTGCTGCTGCTGCTGCCACCGTTGTACTGCCACTTCTGCTGCTGCTGCTGCTGC